GTTATTTCACTTTATATTGTGCTTAATGAGTCTATATTTCTAATGCAGTTAACAAAATCTAACAGAGACAGCCGCAGCATGATTGATTTCAGGTTGACACAGAGAGGGAACGGCAGCAATAAAGACATTACACACTAAGGGTTTCATATTTTAAATTGTATTCCCAACACTTAGAGAAAATGCTTTCTTTCTCTTGAACCATAAAGTTTGATATATATACCTTTTGATTTGTATCTTCTGACTTTGCTCTGGCTGTCTCGTGTCTCTGCTGCAGCTGAGATCTCTGTGAGAGGACTTTGTCTTTGAGCAGGGCGGCGTACCGTCCATAGAGAGAATCTCTGAGCCGGTGCATGTTCCAGTAGGCCTCTAGATGGCGCTGAAGGATAGACAAAGGAACATAACGCGACCAAACGAAGGGGCATGTATGACAAGCTAAAAGGAAGCAGAAAAAACTGAGCGGAGTTTGAGTGATGATGAAAGATGAGGAGGAGATTAAAGGATTGATTATGGATTAAACTGGTTTTCTGAACGTGTCTCTGATGATGACACAAGCAGAAGAAATGTCTCAGTGACTTTGAAAGTGTCTTAGAGGTTGGTGCTGTGTTTATGAACCTGATCCAGCTGAGCCTGACGCCGGGCCTGGGCCTCCTGTTCTGGATCTGGACTGTGGCCTTGTAATTCCCTTCTCCCTCCAGGCCTCGCCTCGGACTCCATCACCTGCCTATGAACAGTCCAAAAACCCAATTTAGATGCAGTGGGAGTGAGTCAGCCGGCTTGCCTGGAGATTAAAAAAAGAATTCATTTTTTGGTAATCCTTCTTGTCTGCCAAAAGCATCCTCCCACACACAACAGCCTGACATTGTGTTCTTGGAAAAATAAAAAGATACGCATGCAGGAGGAGGACGCCCACCTCCGCTCCTACAAATCCTTCACCTTATTTCCTGCAGCAGGTCTCCCAAAAAACAATTTTGTAAAGCTATGATCTGCTCTAAGCAAATCACTGGGCAGCAGTGTCTTTGTTTAATCCTGCTGAACTCTGGTACCAAACAGATGTCGTCGAGGGAAGTTTAATAAGGGGGGGTGGATTGTCAACAGGAAGTCCCACATCATATCTCAGACATGAATATTAAAGACATCAATGGCCCCTGTTGGCCCCTGCCTAGAACCGCCCATGAAACTTTGGTCGGTTATGTTCAAACATGCCGACCACTGCAAAGGATTTGGGAAATTTCTGGAGTTTTGCATGTGTGAAAACACCAATAGAGACACTTTGGGCCTTTAGTCATGTTTCTACAAAAAGAATCAGGGATATTTAGTCCAAAGACTTAATCTGAAGGGCTTCTGTAACGTTCAATATATCAGTGAAGAAAAGACGAATTAGCCTGCTAATGTTTTAAAACGCCCACTCCACTATTCAGGCCCACCACAGAGAACATGAACAGCCTATAGGAAGGCGTTTTACTGAGGTGACATTAAGTCCCCAGCATGTCTTTATTTAGACCCTGGTTCCTTCAAGGGAAGCACAATGAGTACCTTAATAAAAACTCTGAAAGTCCCCTGCAGACATTCTTGTCGTGCAAAAAAACCAGCTTATGAGCGTCAAGAGAAAGTACGAGATGAAAAGGAATGCAGAAGGTGAAACATGTCACAGAAGAAATGCAAGGCTAATGGGAGTTCCAGCCTACATGAAAAAGCAGATTAACTCCACATAAAAGCGCACATGCTTCTTTTAATGACCCTGAAATGAGGAATAAAACATGCTTGAGCTTTTTATGGGAGTTCTGTACCCTCTGATGTGAGTCTCTGAGGTCGACCTGTTTCTGGGAAATGACTTTCATGATGTTCTCGACAGGCTGCGGCTGAATGAAGACGTATAGATAAAGTTTATGGGCTGAGAGCGTTTAGGAAGTGTCTGCTTTTGTCCTTTCTCACAAAAAGCTGCTGGAAACCCAAGGATTTATCAGATCCGTTGCCACAGTAATGCTAACATGGCAGAGACCTGCAGTTCTTTGCTGTGCCTGCTGCATGAAAAGTGTCGGCTACAGGGCCGAGGCAGCATCCATCTGTGTGCACCCCGCCAACACAAATCAGCTGAGGATAATGCAGCTGTCCTGTCTGGAACACGTCACTCTCTCTCACTCTCTCTCACTCTCTCTCTCTTTCTGAGACAGATCGGGATTCTGCAGAGATGTGGACAGAAGCCGGCAGGCATTTCTATTTTTTTATTTTTCATTTTTTTTGTCTTTACTGTGGATCCAAACAGAGAGGGGCAGATGGGATGGGATGATCAGAAAACGTTTGCAGACAAAAATAGAAACCGAAGAATAGAAGCTGCAGGTGGAAACAGAAGCTGGTGGTGGTGGCAGAGGATGAAAAGACAGAGCGGGAAAAAAAAAGGCCTGCAGCAGAGAAAGAGAGAAAGGAAAATCCTCAAAAGCATTTTGGAGAAAGTGTTTCTACTTGTAACCAAGCAAACTGTCTCAAGTCCTGCCAGCTCCTGCTTCTTTAAATACAATTATTTCCCACATGAGTGCAACTTTTCTGAGCTGCTTTGGAAATAATGAAGTTGTTCTCACCCCCCAGGAGACGTGAACAGCTCGGCTTTAGGCGACAAGCAATGGATACCAGAGAGAAAGGCACACAAACAAGGCGACAATTGAAATGACACAATAGATGCAGGATTACACAACTTTCGGTCACAGAGCCAGCACATATCATCACAGAGGGCCACAGAGGAGCACACACGGTCCTTGGTACTCACTGTACTGGCTCAGACGTGATCTCAGTCTGCAACGTGCAGCAACAAAACAACTTTGTGAAACTGAATGGATAAGGTGATTTATTCGAGCTGCTTGTTTGTTTGTTTACTCACATGATCCTGTAATGCAATAAAAACTTGCATCAATGGTGCAACACCTGATGCTTATCTGTTTCCCAGAATAAAAAAAAGGTAGCTTAACAGCAGAATAGGAAATAAACCTGAGTGCTGATGACGTTGTTTAAAATACCTTTCTGACAGAAACAGGTAACAGCTCTGCGTTCCTCACAGCAGGTAGAGTTGTTGTTTGATGGCCGTCTTTGCAAACGGGTTTCATCACAAACTAACCTTGAGAGAAAAGAGATGTGAATCACTGATAAATTGCAGGAATGTCAAAAATAATTTGGCAGCAAATTCCAAAGATGATACCAAACAAAGATACCTGAGGACACGCATGGAAGTATTTTTTAAAAAGCTTACCAGCTGATGCACTCTGAGCTTCTCAAACTCTCTCCGATATGTTTTAAATGTCTCCTTTCGAGCTTCCAGTTTTACAGTTTACCACCCTGTGAGTCAAACTCTGGTTACCAAGTTACAGAGAACAATGCTAACGAGTTAAACCTCCCAGCAGGGAACCTTCACACTGTACTAATAAGTTTGGAGCCCTGCTTTAACTTCTTATTTTAGTTTTTGAGGCTTCCATGTAATTCAGCGCTGGTCAATGTCACTTGTGGCAGAAGCAACCAATCAAAAGTAGGAGGCTTTACCTTTAGGCACTTTTAATGACATTTCCCCCTAGGAGCAAAGCAACGTGAGCTCAAATTCATTTTTAACCACTTTTTTTTTTGGTCGCCCGTGTGTGCATGCAGCCCCGCTCCACAGGCGCTTCCCCCCAGATTGCGCTCAGGCGTTCTTGGAGTGGCTGAGTCTAGGGCGACGACTCTCTGTGTGATCGGGCCCTAAGTCAGACTGGTTGGTAATATTCCCTCTTTTCAGAGAGTTACTATTGGACCATAACATAAAGTACCAAACAATCGTCAAAACTGTTAGCAAGCAGCAAACTGGATGTATCTCAACAGAGAAAACGAGGACAACTTCACAGCTCTGTTCAGGTCGTACATGCTCTACGCTTTGCTTCTGGTACAAATGAAATGCGAGCGAGCGATCTCTCTTGCTTTTGGTGATATCCGAGTGCAGATGACAACACTGTATGAGTGCAAACAACGAGTGGGTCTAAGCTCTTCCAAGGTGAAGCCCATGGGCCGGTTTGGGTCTGATTTAGGAGTTTACCTTTAAGAGTAAATGAACCCCCAACCCTATAGGTGTGTAAGTCCAACTTTGACTTAGTACAAGCATGTTTAAATACATGTTAAATGTCCAGATTTAGTTGGAATAACAACAAAATAAATAACTTTTCTTTTTTAAATCAGATAAACATAATGTGTGTTTCTCCACTGCAGGAACCAAGGTCTAAATAAAGTCTCTGGGACTTTATTGTGCCCCTAAAAAGGTCCCTAGTCCCGTGGTGGTGCTTTATAAAAGTATACTGTGGGTTAAGCAACACTGAACATTTGGTGGATTGGTAGAAACAGACCATTGGGGGTTGAAAGAACCTTTTTGGGCTCCTGAGAAGAGAACTAAAAGTCTTGAGTACTTTTGGTGGAAATGCAGCAAAAGAAGACAAAAGTGAATTTAGAACTTAGTGTCTCTTTTTATCCAATGTTTGATTTTCTTATTTCTTTGCTGAATTTGTTAATAGTTCCTGACTATCTCTTCCACTGCCATCCACGGAATAAAAACATAGTTCTTGGTATCACAATCAGCAGCAGACAAGCCCTGAAATAAATATGTCTGCATGTTAAACAGTTCTTGCACTTTGGGTGGAAATATCTATCAGACATTTGTTGCAACACTTTTGTTTTTCCATAGCAGCTGCAGGCATTGTTTGGTTTAATAAGACAAAAGTAAAGCAGACTGGAGGTAATTTCCTGAAGGGATCATGCACCTGGGCTCTGCAGTACTCTGGTCAACCCTGCTTAACAGGAAATCTAAGAAGCTTAGAACACTAATGCCCAAATGGCCCCCAGGTATCTACAGTGGGAACAAAAAGAGCCTTTTGAGCACAGTCTGAGAACTGACCAGGAGTGGAAAAGCATACTAAAAAGACTGCATCATGTAACAAAATTAACTGAGAGAGGCACGACACAAATCAGCTTGTAAAGACTCAAAAGGGTCACTTGCATAATTTAGAAAAAAACACTTTTTACTTCATAAAATCATCAGCTGAGAAAACAGTTGGACAGTACAAATATTTAGTCAATATTAAATACTGTACAATGACTGATCAAATCCCTACAAAGGACATAACCCTCTGATGAGAGGAAACATTTAAACAGTCCAGTTTGGTTCCAGCAGCAGACGCGCAGAAAGCCATGTTGGTAGACAGCTTATTGTTCTCCATTGCACAAAGGAACGGGGTTTCACGTCCCTTTACGCAAAACCTCTCCAGCCAATCCAGCGGCGCCGCACTGAAAACAAAAAACCATGTGCAAAGGACGAGATATTAAGGTGTTCAGTTCTAACTTCAACAAAAACATCGGAGAGGCATTCACTCGCAAAGCAAAGTCCGTGTGAACCTCAAGAAGCCCTGCAGGATGCGTCCAAAAAAATCGTTTAATGTCAAATTTCCTCTTATCTGAACGCAATTTACGCACATATGTTTAATTAATGTAATCAGTGTTTTTATCTTAAAGTGACATCTATTTCAGATCATTATTTCTGAGACAAATCGGCATTCCTCTGGAGACCCCCCTCCCCCCCTTCAATGCAAACGCTTAATTTACAAGCCTCTAATTTCAGATGCTTTTGCAGCAGGACTTTATCGGGTGCACACTTTGCCAAGAGTCCATCATGTCTCCAGTCTGCTGTTTGAAAAGATCAAGAGTGTTTTTTGGTGTCAGCAGCCTTTAAGGTGCGGGAGCGCAGAAAGTTTGTCCACTTTTCCCAAAGCTGCGGCGTTTTCGACTCCCTTCAGCCACTCTTTGCATTTCCTCACGACCGTCTCGTCCACGTCTCCGTCCTCCTCTTCGTACTCCACATCGTCGTACTTGTACTGATCGTTGAGGAGAGATATCTTAACGATGGCGGTGATGTCCTGCTCCGCGCTCTCCACTTTGGCCACGGGAGCTTTGGAGCCTCCGTGAGACTTTTTGGTAGGGAAAACTCGCCTGTGCCGAAAGTCCGTGGAGGCGCAACACTTCTGCTGCTTGGCCATCATCTGCTTTTCTAGATTTCGCTTTTGGATGACGAGGATGGCTTCCGGGGTGAGGCTGAGGGTGAACTGGATCTCCTTCTTCACGTCCTCTTTGCCGTGGAGATGTCTGGCGGAGTCCATGGAGCTGGAGCGCCTGACTCCTTCCGACGAGTCCTGAGGTTTGGGCACCGACAGCCAGGAGCATTTTCCCTGCGTCTCCTGGCCGGAGCCTGCCTTCTGAGAGGGGCTTTTATTCTTCTCCTGCTGCGGGGCTTTTCGCCCCAAAGTCCTTAAATTCGCAGACGTCCAAGAAAGAGACTGCTTCTCCTTTTCGGACACTGCTTTCTCCCTGCCGGATTTGCTGGTGAGCTCAGACTGAGGAGGCACTGCGTTGGCTTTCTTTTTCCCGAATAGATCCCTGCCGGGAGACGAGATCCGCTGGTGGAGGCTGATGGGCGGAAAAGGCATTTTAATGGTTGGAATGAATCAGGATATAAAAAAGTGCAGAAGAGGAAGCCCTGCGTTGAGCGACGAGCGGCGCATTATCCAGCAGTGCACCTGTTGTCCGCGCTGAAGCTGGAGAGTTCAACTGGTGCACACACACACACAGGCCGGCGGATTTATGAGCGAGCAGGCAGGAAGGCGTGGTCAGGGGGGAGCAATCCAAACAAAGCCATACAAAACGGTGATGATGTCATTTCATAATTTCCAACAACTTCCTGAAGCGATGAGCCACATCCACCTCGATTTCCCCTCGTTTTTCTTCTCACAGCGCCTCTCTGCTGCTCTGCAGGCATTGGACCATTTCCCACAGACATCCACTCAAGACTGTTATAGATCATCATCAATGATGGATTACAATCATCTTATTTTATTTAATGAAATTGATGAACTTTAGAGGCAGAAGGGAAACTAACCAGAATTCCCAGCTTACAGTCTCAATTTGAAAATGTGAACATTTACCTCAGAATTATTAAAATTTCATTATTATAATTTAATATAACTGATAGTTATGATACGTTTTTGAAAATATCTCCTTAAACATGTTCATGGTGATACAAGATACAGTCTGATTTCTTCAACGTGCAGAGTCGCATTTGTCTCTAAAGGTCACATATCCTCCTCCTCTTCTTCAGTTAAATAAGTCTCAGAGCTCCTCAAAACATGTGTGTGAAGTTCTTGTTCTAAATCCACTCTGATCCTGTATTTGATCATGTCTATAAACCCCTCTATTTCAGCCCTGCTCAGAACAAGCTGTTTCTGTGTCTGTACCTTTAAATATGTAAATGAGCTGTGTCTGACCACGCCCCCTCTCTGGAAGGCTTGGGTGTACTCGGTCTTTCTCGCTCCATGTCCTATTGTTTACGGTGAGAAGGCAGACTCAGAGGGCAGAACAAACACCTAGCTGTGGGAGTGTCACCCACCTGGGGGAGGGGCTACTGCCCTTTGTGATGTCATGAAGGGAAATCTCCAAACGGCCTGTTTGAGCACACATTTTAGGGGTTTGTAGACGGACTAGAGACACATGTTAGAGTTAGAGGAACATGGTGAAGAGGATTTTGCAGAATATCTGACCTATTATTTAGGACATACATATTTATTGGGAATGATATTACATCTTCTTAAAACAGCCTGTTGACTATTTTACAAAGATGTATGAAAGTTTTCATATTTTATCAGACAAGTTGAGCGCCTCGTCTTCATGACCTGTTAGATTAAATGTACATAATTCCTTGTGTGACTCACTCTCTTGTTACAGCAGTCCCACAGACTTGATTATATCTCTCTGAAGGCTTCATGTTCATGGCAGTAAAAACACGGTTCTGTCCTTGGTGCTCACACAGACGTCTGTCCTTGAACTATAACAAAACATGTCACTGCACAACAAAACACTTTGATTTGATCCTCTCAGTCACCGACTGTCAATAAAGTCTCGAATGTCAACTTACTCATGTATATGGACGGTTTGTTGTTGTTCCGTCATCCGTGCAGCCAATGAAAGACATCTGAGGCGGGGGCAATCCAAAGTATTGATTACCTTTCCTTTCTGCTGCTATCTGCGATTTCAAATAGACAGCTCCACAATTGATTGGATGTGATTTTGTTAGAGTCTTAGAGGAAATCAATAATTGCTTCCAGATATATTGTTTTTAGATTATTTATTTGATATCGCCTGAGGGTGCTTACGGTTACAAATAAAGAGTGATTACAGTTTGAGTTCTGATTTACAAACAAACAAACAAATGACTTAAGGACAGGGGGATCACAGGTAATGTTTTGAACAAAGGGCCCATGACTGTTTCAGATAGGTGTTAGAATCTCTATAAAATTCAGTTTCTGCAGCTGAAGGTTTCAACGTACTCTCTAAACAAAACACATTTAAAGTAGCGTTTCAACATCTGTATCGGCTGACATCGACCCCGTTGCAGACATTGGCAGATAATGTGGCATGAGCTGATGTCAGTAGCCGATGTTTATTTGTTGTGCAAAATCAATTTAGTGCACCTAACGACTGATTCAGAGAAATGGTTTTCTTACAGGACACAGGAAGTCACCAGTTGGACAAACTCTGATTTGTTGTCATGTCAAACATGAGAGAAAATGTTGCATTGTGGGAGTCTTACACAAACATCGGCAATCGGCTAAATTGTAATTTCAAACATTTGTAGCAGAATTGGCCATAATTTTTCCAAATTGGTGCATTTGTAATTTAAAGGCAATGTTCGACTGAATCACTCTCAGAAGTGAAACAACAACATTTAAATCCATGATGACACAAGCCTCGTCACATTTTCATTTTCACAGGACGAGCTGCAGACGAGACCCGGACTGGTTTCATTTCTGTGGTTTTTGTGGCGCCGTGGGATCCCTCTCCTCTCTGACATAACAATGGATTAGACGTAATGAAGAGGGAACAGTTGGGACGCTGACAGATTGCCCGAGGTCAGGGGGTACTTCCCTTCCTGCCTCATCCTAAAAACTTAAAACTCCTCGAACTTAATCCAAAAAAATGTTTGGGTGAAGGAAAGCGATCATAAGAACGACAACGCTCCCGTTCATTCAGCAGAAACATTTCATCCAGAAGATTAACTGCTCAAGGATCTGCTGGGTCTCTGCCAAGTTTTGTCGGACGAGTAGTGAGGAGGGGAGATTTTGTCCATGCTAATCCGACACCGTATTAGACAAGAGCCTAATGAGACTTTGAGGGAAGGGGGGGAGAGTGGGGGGGGGGGCTTCCAAAACAGGAAGTGAAATGTGTGCATCAAGCAGAAAAAAAAACTCTGAAAGAATGTTTGTTAAACCTCGTGCAGACATCAAATCAGGGAGCACAGGACTGTTTTTAGGTACGACTATCGATGCCAAATTTAAATCAAACTGTTTTTTTCTGCATCTGAAGTAAATCTGTGGAGAGACCCTCGACTCTCAGAGGTGTTTCTATAATAAAGAAATGAACAACCCCACTTCCTCACATCATCTGATATAATGTGAACATCTGCAGCACAGATGGGGGGTTGGCTGAGGTTATGCATCTTCCAGAGGAGGAGGAGGTTGTCATGACAACCGCATCCTCAAAGGCAGTGCCGTCATGCCGAAGCAATACCGAGGTACCCGATGCGAGCTACACTGGGTTATTAGGTCACATCAGAATCACAATGCTCAGAAAAGCGTAATTAACTGGGTCGTCGCTACATCTGGCAGAAAGTCAAATTTAAAGGAGATTTTTTTTTAATGTAATTTGATGATTACGGGGAGGGGGGGCAGGTGTGTTTAAATACAAAAAGAGGACGGACAGACTAGACAGGAGCTGCTTCTTCTTCTCTTTATTTTAATCTGTGTGTCTGGAAAGCTGTGGATCACATACATACCGGAGCATCATCAGTGAAGCAGAGCCTCATTCGCCTACAGGGAAATAACCGAGAGCGTCTTTATACATCAGTGCATCTTACACTCAGACGAGAGAAGAGAGAAAGAAAATGTGTTTTAATAACACGTGTGTAAGAAGTCAGGAGGAGCAGATCACTGCGTCAATATGCAAAAGATCATGGTTGGTCATTGAGGCACTTAAACTGTAAATCACAATATGGGGTAAAGCCAAAATATCACTTCCCTGCACTTAATGGAATAAAAATCCTCCAAACATACAGAATAAGAAATATCTTTAAATATATTAAGCATTAAATGCACTCTCACATCAAAAAATGGCAAAAGTAAGTGTTGTCATCTGATTATAGGCTTAAAAGGTGAGAATTCACAGTATGAAAAAAGCAACAGTAAAAATCTGGAGATAAAGTGTACAAACAACATGGATGCGTATTTTACAGAGCTGCAGCTGTGGGTTTTTTTTTTGTTGCAGTTTGCAGTTTGCATATGAGGACCAGTCTTCAGGTGAAATAGGACACCGCGGCGTCCTAACTCAGGCAGGTAGTGAAGCATTTCATCACTGCATCTCTGCAGAGAGAGAGAGAGAGGAAATGACTCCATTAAAAACAATGACATAAAGAAGAGAAACAAAGGATGGTTATTGGTGGAGCGTTACTCAAAGATCATCCAGGAAAATTCATAAATAAAGAAGGAGGCAGAATCCTGTCAAGTGTTTTAAATTAAAAGTGAAAAAAAAAAGCACTCGGACCCTTTTGTTGGGTTTGGGTGTGGCCCATCATGAATTAGTGAGTGTGTTTAGGCGGCGGCGGGGGGAGGGGTGGGGGGCACCACATGCTCGCAGTGATGGGGGCTCCCTTTTCTTCAGGTAGCACTGCTATGAGGGATGATGCAATACGAGCGATCGCCATGGTAACCGTTCTCTGTATTTTCTAACCCCCCACCTCTCTCTCGCACCGTTTTTGCTCGTGCTGTCGGTGTGTTGCTATGCAGACTTTTCAGCCTGGCAGGCAGGCACGGGGATATTTTTCCGGTGGAGGAGGTGAGAAGCCCGTCAAGGTTAAAAGGAGAAGTTGGGGGGGGGGAGAGATCATGAGCAGTCGGAAGAGGGGGGAGGATGGGGGAGGTCAACGGTGCTACGGTTCAATCCTCCGGTGCATAAAAATTAAAAATTCCAAACCCTCGTAGTCTTCCTCCCTTTTCCGCTTCAAATCTTTGTTTTTGAGATCCTCATGAGGCGTGATGCTATTTTGGCTCCACATGAATAAATAATCAGTCTAATTTCTGATTTAATTTCAGAGCAACAGCAGCTCCCCGATGCACTGTGGGAAGTGCACATGCAGCAGGTTTCAGTCCCCGATAACCTGCCAGCGTGGGAGGATATAAATAACAACAAGGTAAAATACATTAAAGGATCAAGTCCGTCGACCATGTGGTGTTCGAGGCTCGCCAGGTACCACAGTTTGTTTGAACACATGAGGGAGGGAGGGAGGAGAGAGTCTTTGTGTGTTTTGACTCCAGGTTAAAACCAGGTGTGGGAAGTAACCTTAGCCAGGTCTTTTATTTTTCTACGATCTAAAATAGGACTTAACAGGTTAAAAAAAAAGTGCAGTCTAATGTTTTTTTTATTGTGTCGTCAGAGGGTCCGGGGATCAAAATAAGCTGCTGCTCTAAGACAGCATGGTAAACAATAGAGAGCTAAATGATCAAATCTAAATTAAATGAAAAATGGATTACAGTTAAGAAGCTTAAGGAGACAGACAGGACAATCGTGTGTTGGCAGGAAACATCACAACAAAGGAGTTAAGGGAGAAATAAGTGAGTCTCTTCAGGTCTGCATTTCTCCAAAGGAATTTTTTTAGGAAGGCCGACCGGAGAGAGAAAGGTCTTTGTCTCAGCTTTGTGTTGGTGTTGGCGTTCAGGTTGGGGGAGGGGGAACTGACTTGGGGTGGTTATAGGACGTCTCTCAGCTGTCAGAAAGGATTATGGGGTCGCTCGCCCACATACACAAGGCACTTAGAGGTAGAGAGAGGGAGAGACACAACCCCGCTTACAGCTGGACTGACAAAACAACATCACACCCCGTGCGTGCCGCAGAGAAAGCAGCGAGGTGGCTCACCCACCATATGGGACAATTAGAGAGGGGGAACATATGAGTTTAAGGAGATTATTTCATCTAATTTAAATCCTGTGTCGGGGTGTAGAGATGCAGAAATCAACTGCTATAGGGCTTTGATTTTAAACTCTAAACATGTTGTAAAAAAATGAGTAAATTACAAGAAACACTACAAGATCTTTATCCTCGTCTCACAGGACGGTTTATACCTCATCAAAAGTGTGCATTGTGCCGCAGAGCTTAACATAAGCTCGTGACACATAACGTAAAAGCTTCATTTGGGGGGAGTTAACTTTTGGTAAATCTCTCTCAAAGAGCATTATTCCACAAAAAAAAACTGATTTCATTTGGATATTAGGGATAAAGTGAACGACGTCACAGAGAGTGTGAAACAACAAGCTGCCATTTGTTTGACGCTAAGTGCCTGCAGCAGTGGTAGGGGGGATTACAGCCATATGGTGGAGGCAAACAGTGTTTGGATGTGAATGAAAACATGTTTTTATTAAAGAGGCACTCACAGTGTAACCCTCCCGCTTTGTTTATGTGTGGCATCAGAGAGGCAAAGAGGAGTAAACAGCATTACTGACATATAAGTGGATATTAAAGGAAGAAAGGAAGGACAGGCTGAAAGTGAAGATGTATCTAATGATGGGGAGACATTTTCTCACATATATAAACCAGACCTCAAGACACCAGACAACCTCAAACAATGTCAATATCTGTTTTGTAACCATGGCAACAAATAAGTCCTAAGCACCAAAAAAAATTGGAAATTTATTGTTGTTAGTTAACAAAAAAATGGAGGCAAACTCATGTGTACTGTCAAATTTGCTCAAATACATGTTCTCGGTCTGTAAGAGACTTAAACTTTCTGATGATTAATTGCTGGACTTTTTGTGCCTTTTCTTTAGAGATAGAACAGAGGGTAAGAGTGAGAGTGGGGAAAGGAGCCACAGGTCGGACATGAACCCGAGGTAATCCGCTTGGAGGACTAAAGCCTCTGCACATTGAGTTTTACCCAACCGCTAGGCCATCTGTGCCCTATTTTAACGTTATTTTAACATCAAATAGAGTTTAAAAAAAACATCTGTGTTTGTCAGTGTCTCCAATGTTTTGAATTTGGACTGCAATACCCATTTTGAACTCTAGGTGTCAGAGTTACAAATCACTCCTTTAACAAACCAAATCATCAGTTTGTCCAGCAACAAATGTCTATGACATCAACTTAAGGTCGGTGCAGACTGATTATAAATCATAAAATCATGTTGTCTTACCTGGCAAAGGGAATGTACGAGATGCTATACCTGAAACAAAAAAAAGAAATAACGATGAGGAGACTGTTTGATAACGACTGATCATAGAAGAAGACAAAACTTACAACAAGAAAGGAGCAAATATATGAGATTAAACAAGTGGAACTAAAACACATGCTGGACATCATAATATGAAAAAAAAAGACCCAAAATATTTATTTCATACTATGACATCAGCGTTAAAGTCAGCAAATATTTGAACCCAAGTTGTAATTTAAAAAAAAATCGTTTTCTTTGTTGATTCGAGAACGATCCCTGAAAACAGAAATGTTTTTTGTTCTCAACAAAGTTCTGCGTTCAGACAACTGACAAGACACAGATCTGCAAAAATGACTGAAAAACGTTGTAGTATGCATGCCAGACCAGTAGTTGGTGTTGTGACTTTGTAATGAAACAACATGTGTGATTGGACAATATCCTTCCTTCAACAGAGCGGTGAGTCGTAAACACACAAACATGGCTAACGCATTAACGTTTGTGTGGACGGACGATGAAGGTGAGGTTGTAACTCCAAGTGAGACTTAACGACAAAGCCAGTAACTTTCAGGAAAATGTCGACTTGGAGTGAGCAGCAGAGACAGAACGTGGAAATACGCCATTGCTGTTGTAGTTCATCTACCTGTGCATGGCTATAGAGCTCGACAGTGACTGTCCAGAAGTAAATTTCCCCGTTTAAATCCTCCCTTGATTTTTTCACAGAATCCTCGTATCAAGAGATACTCGTGACTATATTACATTTAATCGGCACCAAAACAGCATTGAAAATTAGAGAAAAAGTTAATTGTCTTCCTGAGTCAAGGAACTACCCATCCCACAATCCATTGCGGATGGAAATCACAGTCACTGCAGCATAACAAGGTTATTAGTGAATTTTGTGTAAGCTAACTACCTAGTGAAAATTATTTGGGGGTTGGGATGCATTGCCATGGTGACAGCGAGCTCAACCAATCAGAGGCGTCGCTGTGACACTGTATGATCGTGGGTAGTGTAGTTCTTTGCCCAGATATGCCGAATAAAACGTGTTTTTCTTAAAGGTTGATATCAGACGAACTTGTGTCTCCTACAGGAGCATTAACCATCAGCTCAGTAGCTCGTGGTCGGCCGACCCTGGATGGTTATGACATCATGGCTAATAATCAAATCCGCTATGGAGAAAATAAATTGGATTTTTACTGCCAAAACCACACTGTTGAGCCCTATTGACTAAAACCAGAATGTGCATGTGTGTTAAGTCTCTGTTTGCAAAAGGAACAGCATATTTCCAGTTTTCCGAGGTTTGAAATCTGGGAGCCGTTTTCAGGCACCCAAAACGCTGTTGTCATGTAAACAAACAGCCAAAACACAACTAAAGGATACCGATTTTGGGCTTAGTGGTTGTTGTGTAAACGTGGCGTCTATCATTATGTAGTCAATCTTTCATTCTGGTGTGTTTTAATAACATGGGATTGTAACGATGTGATGTCTGAGAGATTAAAGTTTAAAGGCATTTAAAAAAACACCCCACAGAAGGCCGGACTTTAAATAGATTTAAGACTTTAAGGCATCATTATAAAGGCTTTCTGATGAACAACACACAAGATATACGTTGAACTGCTGGATCCAGTGGTAAACACTGGACTGGAGGACCCTTGATGTTGCACAGCGGGGGAGGGGATTAACAAACCCTGATTGAGAATCGGATGCACTGTAATCTTTGCACTCGAGATACCAGACAGATTGGGAGCCAAACATAAAAGGATCACAAAAACATGAAACCCTGCGCTGGTAATGATTACAGATAAAGTTATGCAGAACAAAAATCCCCTGAGCGTTAAAACACCAAATATGTTTAAAATATGTGAGGAATCTGGTTCAGACGGGGAATGATTAACTGACATCTTACATGACCACCGGTGAACAGGAAACCCCCGACTGCACTTCTAAGCAGAGCTGTAACTATTTGTTTTTATATAGAAGGCTGGAAGGAATAATTAATGAATCAATCATAAAAAATGAATCAATTAATAATCTCATTTGTTTTCACTTGATGCTTCCAGCTCCTTAACTTTGAGGATTCTCTGCTGTTTTTTAAAATAATCTACGGCTGTGTCAGAAATCATAAACCAGTTTGTAGAGGTGTCGGAAATCTGAGTGATCATACCCTATATAGTGCATTCATTGTGAAAAGTAGTGTACATTTGATGGTCACAATCAGAGGAGTATATACCATCATGCATTGCGTTTTTGTGAACAGAAAGAGGCGTCTGACTCGACTGCTCTCAGACAAAACGAGAGGAGCAACGAGCGCATACAGAGAAACACAAACAAGTTCATATTCAGAGCTTTTTTTTCTGTGCTTTTTGTGCCTTTAATGGAGAGACGGATAAGTGGATAGAGCTGGAAATCAGGGAGAGAGAGTAGGGAATGACATGTGGGAAAGGAGCCACAGGCTGGATTTGAACCTGGGCCGCCCTTGAGGACTACAGCCTCCATACATGGGGCGCGCACACTAACCACTGCTCCACCAGCGCCCCATATTTGGAGCATTTTTACTGAAATCTACAATCTGTGTTAATCAAGGAAGATCGTCAGCTGAGTAATGTACGTTTTTCCGAATGGTGATGGCAAGGCACGAGATCAGTAAACACCAAACAGATATAAAAATATGTTAAATAATTGAACATATGGTTGGTTTAAGTCAGTTGAGCAGGCTCACCACAGAGGACACAGTCCTCGTCACACTGGTGGCAGGATCGACTCCTGATCCTGATGCTATCACTCTCTCTCCACCCACACTGTGAATTCTCTATCTCTCTCTCTCTATAAAAAAAACATAATCTGAAGTCGTGGGCCTGGACTCTGTTATTGGAAGTGTTGTTTTTTCTAATTGTAGTCCGAGCAGCGTTTAGTCTTACCAAGAAAAACTTGCTGCGTCAAGTCCTATCGTAACTAAATAAAGCTGTTGTGTCATCAGACCTCCTCCCGCCTGCAGGTTGGTTTACTGAGTCAGCGTCGTTCAGAGGTGTTTAGTGTTATGTGGTCACTTCACAGTCTTCAGCCCGAGGGCCGGACTTTGCCCACTTCTTGTGTGGGTCAGTGTGACGCTGCATGTCTTATAACAGGACCGCCTTCACACGGACGTCTGAGTGCCTGCGTGGGAGTGTACGCAGCCCCCCCCCTCCTCCTGTCTGTTGAGAACGAGCTCAATATGTGTGACTTGTGGTTGCCATGGCGATGCCTTTGAGAACGGAAGTGAATGTACAACATGTAGGTGCAAGAGCGGTGTAGTTACGAGGCTGATGTTCTGACACTGTCTGTTAGCTCGGGGGGGGGGGGGGGGGGGTGTTCCCATGCAGTCGCACACGGAAGCTCTTTTGTTCCTACTGTGCAAATATGTTTAAATTAATGAACATACAAGTGCTGGCATGCCCACACAAGTCACAGACAGGTTTTATTATTCACTGCGATGTTTGAACTGAACCCTCCGACCTTTTTAACAACGTGGGATCTCGTCTCAATCAGCTGCTCGGAGTTGAGTGCAGCATTATGAGGTGGACGTTTAAGATGTACATGAACACTTAAACTGTGACACATAATTATTTACATCAGTCTTCTATGTTAACGCTAAATATCCCAGAGCCTCGAGCATTTATACATAAATCATGTCTTTGCCAGCTTCTCCCAACTCTCAGAAAAAATGTAATCTTCAGCCAGAGAGAGATTTTGTGAGAAAGAAATTTCCCAATTTGTCCGGCTAAAACTCACCTTGATCATGTGTTTACAATCTCAAAGGGCAATCTAGTTTGGCTAATCTTGACAGGTCTTCAGCCTTTATTATAAATACAGACAGAATGTGCTGGAGTAGCTTTAAAAACAACCCATTTGGACTGAAAAGTCTCAGGTCCTTTTTGATTGGAAATGCAGCTTTTGTCTCATGTGTGATTAACACAGGTGGAAACACCGTTCTGTCTCTGCATCTCTAAGCAGCTTCACGCTGATCCTGGCACTGCCTCATCCTCTTCAGGCCAACATACTCAACATACTGACCGACCACGACCTCAGGGAACCAACCCAGCACCAGGTATGTAGAGCAGGTGTCCCTGACAGCTTAGGCAAACTAGAGCTAATCAGTCAGCTGATTACAGTTTGGCATTAAACGTACACAAACATGGCATTACATTCACTGCATATAGCCTGGGCTTAGCTCCTGAACAGTGGGAACTCGTATATGGTGTGGTTGAACGTGCTGTGTGAGTAGGTGTGAGTTCACACATGTATACGTTCAGCTGTGTACCCGGCTGCAGCAGTAAGTAAGCTTTAAGAATCAGCTCAAGTCACTGACATTTAGCGAAGGCCAGAGCAGCTGGAGAAAAGTTCCCCATCACAGACGGACGGCTCTATCCGAGTAGGAGGAAGTGATGAGTTAATTAAGACTTTCTGATCACACTTACCAGGTCATCGCCAAGAACTGCAGAACACAGAAGATGATAGCCAGCCCCTTTTTATGCCACTGTGAAGTGAAACACAGAGAGTTTTTTATTCTAATAGATCGTCACACTGCACTGCAAACAATGAAGGCTGAATGTGGCTTTAAAAACGTGTGCACTTACCCAAAACACTGCACAAAGTGTGAGGACAAGGCAGAGCTGATGGAAGAAGAAGGAAAGAGTTAGCTTCTTAAACAAACGTAGTGATTTGTAAACATCAAAAGCAAATCATAAGCTGCATTTAGAAGTCCTTCAGATGGTTCAGTTTTCCTGGGAATGGACGTTGTTCTTCCAGCTTTGGGTGCTCATGACCTTTAATCCAATATTTGAGACAAAATGAACAAATAGGTTGGGATGATTATTTTTGCTCTTACTAAACTAACTGATGCATGTGAATTAATTAGAAGCTTTCTGACCAGAAACTATTTTTTTGATCTGCCCTGTTCCTGTGTAATACGACAGCAGCCTGACTTTAGCTGCTGTTGCTACTTGAGTGTTCAAATGAATTTTCCTAAAAAAAAAAAATAAATCTTTATTTAATTCCACAGCTCATACGTACAATAAACCCGCACCAAGTGCCTAAAGGCTTTGTCAAGATAGGTATTGGATTTCTGCAATCCCGCAAGATCACAAAGTAACGACGGATGTATCAGAAAGTCATCAGAGGTCTAGAAACCTTTCACACCCCAAGACAAGGTGCACGCTGATTCAAGAGTGACGGCCCCATGTCGAGTAGAATATAACAAGTTAAGGACTGCATTGCAATATTAAGAATTTTCTGTATATATATATATATACATATTTCAGAGTGAGCTGGATAACACCCAGAAGAATCTGGAAGTATCCAGTTTTGTGACGTGCTGACGTATGTACAAGAGGTAACCGTGCTCAAAAGCTGGTTGTGCCTGGAGCAAGGTGAGTGTAGACCAGCGAGAGACCGCCGGGAGGGGCATCTGGGCGTAGTGAGTGCGCCCTCAGGTGCACATTAATCTGTCAGATGTTTGAATTTATTTACATTCTTCCTTTTAGAATAAAGAAATTGCGGCTATGAATTAAGATAAAACTTAATTTGAGTAACAACATAAAGAATCTGGTTTAACTTCAGGTCTGAACATAATGATAGTTACCAGCATAACGATGGTGGCGATCAGTCTGGTTGGTTCGAACATGCGCTTCAGCTGTTTAAGTGGACCCATCAGGAAGCAGGTGCTGTAAGAGAACAAACAAGAGAAACATCAGACAACCAAACCTCCACACTTTGCTGTTCAAACTGTTAACACGTTTAATTATTTCTCTCATGTCTACTCTGCATATCAGGAGGTTAGATTTTAGCCCTGTGCAGTACGGAACATTTGTTATGAATGTGCTTTTTTCACAAGTGTGAATCTTTTCAGCATCTTCAGCATTTGGTTTCACCTCCATATTCATTCAAAAGGTTGCTTTAAAATATTGGTTTATATTAAATAATAATTATTAATTAGTATTGTCATCATATGTCTCTTAACACACAAACAAAAGACTTCTGTGACATCAAAGTTGTGTAGATAAACCAATCAAATTCATCCCACATTTTGCAATTATTAGGACCGGGGTGAAGATAGTTTCATATTTGACATTTGCCTGTTTTCGCATCGATTACCTTCAATAAATCCGAGTCAAAGCATCGATTTCTCACAGTTTGGGGATATGTTGGAGAGCAGATTAAGGCAGACATTTCACAGTTTTAATAAACTTTAAATAACCAAAAATGACAATGCAACTGGGAGCGCAAAGAACTGAATGTCTGTCCAACACGCCGGTGACTATAGGCGGAGCTAGGGACCGTCATAAAAGTGCAATACGGCTCATTCCAATATTCAATAACTTCTTTGTTTTTCACCATAGACATCTCAACCCACTGCTATTATAGAAGGTGACAGCCCTTAACATTTCACACCAATGAATACAAAATAAAAATAACTCTGCAAATCATCATTATCAATGACATATTGCCTTAAATAAGCACATTTCGAGGTTATAATCTCAATAGCTTTCTCATTTTTGATTTTATCGACATTAAATCACCTCTCGTGTCCTGGACATCCTCTCACAAATTTAACAGTTCATACTTTGTGAAGCAGGCCATTAACAAATGCCTTAATACCATTATCAAGGGCCTGTCGCTTTAAATGTGCAATTTTCAAGGTTGGAATTTCAATAGCTTTGAAATGAAAAATACTATCTTCACCCCGGTATTATTAGGGTGTAAATATTTAACGCCCGACACCCTGATGACACGCTGAAAACCTCCTACATGATGCTTGTGTGACGTCAGTGAGTGTAACAGACAAAGGCTTTCCCCAGCTGACGAGGCAGGCAGAGCTGGCTGAGTGGGTAGAGGGAGACTGTGAGGCGTCACATCTGTCAGATGAGACACCACAGTAGTTTGTGTTGACGCAGGCTTTCTGTACCGCACAGCTGAGGAGGATTGGCACTGTTTTTTTTTTTTAAACTGTTCAGTGTGACAGAGACACTAATAAGGTTCCTGCTGATTGGAGAGGATGACATCACTGTTAATGACACTAATCATAATCTATTTTCATCTTTCTACACTGAACTCTGAGGTCTCTTGACAATCAGTTTATTGAAGTTACTTTGCCTCCGCTGTAAAAGAAGTCAGCTAATGTAAGATTTAAGGCAAAAAAAATTAAAAGCAGCTCCGCCCTCGAGAGTGGTCAGCCCGTATTTGAATCTGTCCTGTGGCTTCACCACATGTCTTTCTCTCTCTCTCCCTGATTTCTCACTCTATCCACTGTCCTATCTTTAGAATAAAGGCACATAATATATATACATGTATGTACAAAATACACGATAGAAAAGTATCTTACTATCTGATCAGACATTAAGGAAACATGCTATGTTGAAGTGCTGGCTTCTCTGACAACAATGCAGCAGCCAGTATGTCCTCCTTCTAACTTTAGATTCTGCTCCTGAATGCTCTGGATTTGTTTGGACCAGAGAAGGTAGGCGCTTTTAAGGAGACCCCCACATGGCCGTTTTGGACGCCCCTCGGTTTTCCAGATATGAGAGCAGTTATCAGGTCAACAGGTGTTGCAGCGATGGAAGCCGGCAAGAGAAGTGGTTCAGATAGAAGTGATTGTACCCGACCTAAAAAGCCTCTGCATGTTTCTAATAAGCTCCACGAGCAGAAACGTGCTCAAACTAGGATCAATATTGGAGATGCTTTTGAAAAATGGAGAGAGGTTATAACACAGAAAGGTTTACAGACCCATGCAGAGCTGGATAAACACTGAAGCTTCAGAGTCCACCACATGGTGACCTGTGTGAGCATCCACTCTAGAGAGGAGGGGGGGGACAGCTCTCTACAATGTTTAGAATTAAGATTGCAGTACCCATTTTAAACACTAGGGGTCAGAATTACATTCTGCTCCTTTAATTGTTCCATCTAATATTATTCATTCTATTCTACAGTATTTCTATTAGTATTCTTGAATTAGGTTTGCTCAAGCCAGATGCTTATATTGCCTGTCAACATATTTTTTGTTACAGACAGAAAAAGCGATATGTGTTAGAGGTCTGTCTGTTTTGTTATTAACACGATCATGTCAGCCTAATGATGACGACTCCCCTGTCATGTAACCTTCCTCTACTGTGGGGGTTAAAACTGGACAATCTTTAAAATATGAAACCCCCTTGATTGGTAACCTGGGCCATGACAGACGAAGGTGACCCAGTTTCTTGACACATCTAAACCCTGTGGACATATGATACCTGAAAATAGACACTGCCCTGTCTGGGAAAAAATACCCTCATCAATGGTCGACTGTCACAGACGTCTGAGACTGTGTGATTATATTTAGACCACACATAATCAAGATTTAATTATCCATACAGTTTTAAAATATCGATGCCTAGTGAGGATATATTTCAGTCTTACTTAACGTTTATTGTTAAGACAGTTGAACGATACAAAATGAGGATAGAGAACTGAACATGTCAGTGAAGCAGAATTATTAGAAAACTAAATTGTAACTGAAATTTTAACTCAATTAATTGCCCAGCTCTACTTTCAAATGACATGAAATTAAGATGATTAAGAGAGAGAGAGAGAGAGAGAGAGAGAGAGGGGGGGGAGAGCGAGAGCAAGAGAGAGAGAGAGGGGGGGGAGAGAGGGAGAGCAAGAGAGAGAGCGAAAGAGAGAGCGAGAGAGCGAGAGAGCAAGAGAGAGAGAAATGTTCAGGTGTCTGCATTGTTGATGAATTATAGAACAGTCTCTGCTGCCCACACCCAATTTCAGTTTTGAAAATTGTTGTAACTTCTTGACTCTAATGTGACTCCAAAGACCCGTCACTGAGTGTATTAGCAAACTGTATATTTATGCAAATTCTGATCCTATCATTGGGGAGTTGAATAAATAATCCCGTAGGCCGGAGCACAGTCTCCCCGTTTGTCGTCAATAAATCGGAATGAAAACATTTGGTTTCTCAGGTAAACTGGCAGCAAACGCTGAGTTTTAATAAATGCACAGAGGGGAGCTGTGACAGTAAAATACAGTTTAAATAAAGCTGATTAAAGACCTCAGACAAATGTGCAGTAGTGCGACATTCAGCTGTAAAATTTGATTGTAAACGTCCAACATTGCATCAGTTTGAGTCTGATGCTCATCATAACATTTATTCCTTGCAGTTTGCCACATAGGTGAGAATACAAACCCACGCTGTGTAATTCTCACACCTGCAGGATTGAGCTGGACAGAAGGGTCCTTCTTACCTGAAAAGAGCAGCGAGATTTCCTAGTGTGTAGAAGACGGCGAAAAGCTTGACTCCACCTGGAAGGAAGAGCAGAGCTGTGCCCTGGTGAAACAGGAAAACAGTCTCTGTCAGCTTCACAGCATCATAACTTAAATGTGAGTAAAAGACAAAAACAATCCTCTACAAACATGCAAACAAAAGACAGGAACTCGGCTTGTTGTCCTTGTGTTTTTACAGGAGCACAAATAGCTCCCCCTAGTGTCCAAAAAAAGGATTAATGACTCAGTGCCAGGTTGACGGTCTCTGGCTTTATAATCCTAACGAGTCTATGATTAAGATCACTTTCAGAGTAAAGAGGATTTTAGACACACGTTGTTTAAACCCTGTATCCAGGCAGGATAACTTTGGTCATAGTTATTAGGAATAAATACATTTTGAAGGAAGATTTAATAACATTTAATATTCAACATTTAGACAACCTGCTTCTAATAATTACATTTTATAAAATCAGCAAATCCTGGACATCCTATATTTGTAAAGGGGCCTGCCCCTGTAAGGATGTGAGAATGTATAAACAACAGAGACATCCATAGATGTATGATGTATGAACCGAGAGAATCACCAGCTCTGTGAATTTCCTCGCCCATGCATACACCTCGAGGTCATGTCGCTTCGTCTGTGTGAATTCCCACCTATGTGGTTTCATGAGCAAAAGCTGTGTGTGATTTAACTTCCTGTGGTTTTGCAAGCTTTACACAACCAACCGAAAAAAGCTCTCATGATCCAGCCCATCTTTACTGTGCTGCTCTACCTGCTTCTTTGACATCTTATCTGTTAAAAACAGGGCCGTACTCAAACGCATCACAACCACAGCTGCCAGAATAATAGAACTCAACAACAGGGTCATGACGCAGACTGCAACCTCAACAGAACAGGACATCACACACGTGCACAACACATCCACCTCGCGCCACAGAGACGGAGGTACAGAGCAGTGAGGTGCAGAAGAGTCGCTTTGTGAGGAGCCTGATCCCTGATGCCCTGAACAAAAGGCCCTGCTGAACAGAACGGAGTGTGGACTTCTGTTGTGTGACGTTGTTTGTTTTACTGAGTGTTTTGTGTATGTACTCTTCTTTGGTGGGTATTGTCTGTTGGACAGAAACGGTGCTGTGAAAAGGAATTTCCCCATAACGACCATAAAGTCGAAGTCTCTTTTTTTGTGATTGCAATGAATCTGCAAAAATGATTTATTTATATTGTTATGCTATAATTCTGTCTCCTCAAAAACAAAGTAGAGCTCTGTTACCAACCGGAAACCTCCAGCGTTAATAAATGAAGCTGTTCAATGTTAATAAGTTCAAAATCCTGCAGTTCCTCAACTGTCCACTAGAGGCTGGCACCAAGAGAATCAGAAGTTACATACACACCCATTGAAAATAGTGCGACTTTCCAGCAGAAATTAACATCTTTACAGCCTGGTAGAAAAACCAAAATATGTCTGATTAGCCCGGGGGGGGGTCGGTTTTTTAAAAGCTGATCTGTTTAGATTTTATGAAGGATAAGAGTTATTCACAATGAGGCGTGTAGCTGACGTGATTGACAGGTGGGTGGGGTGTAACGGTTGTGAAGAGGCTTAAAACCCGCCTCAGCTCCAGCTCTCAGCCTGTCATATTTACAATCTATGTCTGTTATATTATTATTACTTAAGTCATATTTTTCTACATCTTGGACTACCTTCTTCTCTGGAATATTTAACTTTGTTTGACCTCTATCGGTGACACTGGGTCTGAAACATATTTTTGTTAATCATCCTCAACTTCAGACACTAAAGCAGTGACGTACAATTCACAGGTGTGAGTGTAATTGTAGTAGAGCTGTGCATCTTCACTGGTCTTACGATTCGATTACGATTATCCAGTCAACGATTCGATTCGATATCACGATGCATCGCGATTCATCCTCATTTTCTATTTTACTGCACATGGCTACTTTTTCATAAACAGAGACAAACAGTCTTATAAATATGAACTCCTTTAGTATAATTTGAAAAGTGCAACAATGTCATTATCAATATCTTTACATTGTAAGTTAAAATTAATACATTATATAGATAGCCTACAGTATAAGTAAAAAGTAGGCTATACGTGTTTGTGTGTTTAGTTTATTGTACGAGACAAAGATGTTTTGAAGTCTCTGTGTGTTCTCGTCTCAGGACGTTGTAGCCTTTAGCTTTGTTCAGGGTTAGTTTTGTTTCTGTCCTTTCTACTTCAGACAGTTGTGTTTCTGCTGTAAACACCCCATTTCCTGATATGGATGTTTCACATTAAAAACACTTCAACTTCAGATAGGCCGGGGACTTTTATTGTGAAGAACTTGTCAGCAGTAGAAAGTGTTTATCATTGAATGAACGCAGCTTTAGCGGAGGTGACGCTGTGTCGGGAGTCAACTGTGTTTACAGCCGCTCGATCGATGCATTAATCGTCTAGTCTGCATCGCGATGCATCGATTAAATGATTAATTTCAACAGCCCTAAATTGTAGTGACTATGTACTGAAGACTGATGTGTCCAACAAAACAAACTGTAAAAACCTTAAAAAATGGTATTAAAACCACAAAAACAAAATCTCCTGTTGTCTGTCGTCATTCCTCCTCTTCTTTCTTATTTGTATTTTTACCCCTGCAGCAATAAAACAAAGTGACATGCGTCCATCACTTTCATCTTTAAGCGCAAGGCCGTAGGATTTCCTCTTGGTGGCACTGGAGCTGAGCTGTGAATGCAACACTTAAATCTTTTATAGTTCCTACAAATCGAAACACAGCAGCGGAAAAACTCACCATGACCATTGCAAACAGTGTTAACTTTGTGCATACGCTCTGCATTCCTTATGCTAGTGGAGATACAAATAAGATAAAAGCAGTTTGAGCTATTTTAAGAGAAGAGACACTCACGAGTATTGAGCACAGGATGCCTGCAGCGAAGCATATGAAGAACCATTTCACCCTGGTGCTGTAGCTGAGGGAGCTGGCATCGAGGACCTGGTGAGAACAATGGGAGGATGTCACAGGACAAACCTAATGACCTGCAGAGAGACGCACAGACTTCCCTGCATGCTGATGATTTACACATTTGCTAGAGCAGGGCAGATAACGTCCGGCTTACAGTTTCATCTTAAAACATAAAAACACACACACGACACAGGCTGTAGTAAAAGGAGAGGACACTCTACTCGGTACACTGAACTCAGGCAAATGAAGCAATAAAAACAAGCTGTAAAGATGAATCTGTAAAAACATGCAGATGACTTATAGAGAGAATAATTAACCTTCCAACAAGTTAATAAACTACCATCAATTATCTGCAGAGTAAGAACACAAGGTTGAGTTAGTCACTTACCTCATTCCCTCCTTATGGTGAACGCATGTGAAAAGTATAAATACACAAATAAATATTAAGTATGAAAAGCGGACAGAAGAATCACTAGAGCGACCAAGGCAGTCATTTTAATCCGCCATCTTTTAATTTTCTAATGCAGCAACTTTTGGTAAAACCCACAGCAAATATGTGATTTTTTTATTCTGATATTGTTACTTTATCACTATTTCAAAACACAAATAATATTCTTGGGTCGTCACAGTAATTTCTAATGCATTATAACAGTATGCAATTGAGTTATAGGGTACGACAAAAAACTATAGTTTACGCTGGGTTAAAATAACGTTATACGATTCTTCCATAGATACACCAGTTCACCCTTTTCTCTTCTCTCTCTGTCCCTCTCTGAGCAAAACTCAAAAACCACCTGAATAACCAAATATACAGCTGTGTGTTCGTTATGCAGAGAGCATTTTATTTAATGTTTATATCATTTATTTGACAAAGAGTAGTTTGGGTACGTGTTGACATTATGCAGCTGGCTGTTAATAATAATATTGTGTATCGCAATTAAAGGCAGAGTCAGTAGCAATTTCAGTTGCAGTTTGTAAACACAACATTCAAGCACAACCCCCCTGCAGGACTTGGTGTGTATATTTAATCCTTGAACCCACACTGCAAGCTACCTGAGAATATTACATTTGCTGTGACGGAAAAGCCGATAATTTAGCATGCTAGCACAAGCTAACCACCGCTGTTTGGCACCTGCCTGTCCAACAGAAAGCAGACCAAACTCTGTTCAGCTCTTCAAACCAAGTCGCTCCTTAAGTGCCCCAAAGCGGGTGAAATTCAACCCTAGGTTCACGCTTGTTTTGGAGCATGCTTTATCCACTTGGTGTTTCACCTCACTGTCATTATATTTCCTCTTCTTTGCTGCTATGTCTACCATAGTCACCATTTTAAATGGCATCCAGTCATTGAATTGTATCCACTCCCAATATCACCTGTGCGTGTCATTGGCTTGGGGGAATAACATCCACTTAGGGGTGGTGAGGCTCAGTGGTAGAGTCGGCCACACTTAACAAGACCCTTAACCCAAAGTTGCTCCCGCTGCTTCGTCAGCGGTGTTAATGTGTTTGTGTAAGAATGGATTAGTTAATGATGGACACTTTAGATAGCAGCCTCTTCCACAGGGTGTGAATGTGTAGGTGTGACCTACGTTTGTAAGAGGGCTTTGAGTAGTCGGAAGATTAGAAAAGTGATAAACCAGCTCAAGTCCATTTACCATTTACTCACCACCCAGAAACAACCAAAACATGTAAATCCAGTCAGAGGACCGGGTCTCTCTGCGGACACAGTCTCCACCTCACATGTTTGGAGGCTCATAGATGATGACAAGCATTCCTTTTGAATAAGTCTGTATTATATATTTTAAGAAAATGCTACTGACACTACCTTTAGGCAAAAAAATGAGAGTTGGTCCATATCACCCAGCCTTATCTTGGTGTATGTTAATGTCAATTATATATATGTAAATTGTACATATAGTAGCCTATATCAAATTGTGTGTGTGTATATATATATATATATATATATAGATTGTATCAAATGTATAATTGTAAACATACTGTATCAAACTGTATAATATAAGGATGTGTATAAATATATAAAATGTAAATATAGTACATCAAATTGTAAAAATAGATATGTATATATAGATATAGGTATATGGATTGTATAAATATATAAATTATAAAAAATCATAGTATATCAAGTTGTATATATGTGTGGAAAATCAGTGGATTGTAAATATCAAATATAGTATCATAAATATAGTATAGCAGATTGTATATATAGAGAGCTTATAAGGAACACAGGAAGCTAATTTAATTTAATAAATATTAATTATTGAGCTGTGGAAAAGGGGTAGGATTAAATAAGTTTTATACTTCTTCCTTCTCCTTTTCAGGCATATCAATTTATTATATTTAATTTTCTTTTTCTCTTTTTGTGAAATAATTTGAAGATTGTTTTTAGTTTATTGTATTTTCGTGCTTTTCATTTTGTTTTGTATTTTTGATGTTTGTTTTATTTGATATGTCTGAAATAAATGTAATCAATCAATCAATCAATCAATCAATCAATCAATCAACCAATCAATCAATCAATCAATCAACCAATCAACCAATCAATGTTGAAGTTACAACAGACTCTAAACACGTCACTGTTACCTAGCAACATGTAATCTGTTTCCTCCAGTGCTACTTCAGGGTTAAAACCAAGACGGAAATTATAAATAAAAAAAGAAGTTCTTTGGTTGTCTACTCACTTAAACTTTTTTAATTCATTAGGATAACATTTTAATTGTAATTTATTTGTTTATTTTAAGTCGTTTTAACCTTCTGGATAAACATTATAAATCTATTTAGTCTTACATTTAAATCTCTATAATTCATGGTATGTGCAAATAATCGATTAAGAGTCAGAATTAAAGGTTATAAACTCGTTGTAGTTCATCACAGATTGTAAAAAAGAGTTTTTAAAGTGTTAAAATAGTTTCACTCGGTTGTTTACGTTTCGACGCTTCGATGCTAGCAGATCGTAAACTCACATTTATGCTTTAAAATACACATAATACCACACTGACAATAACAGCGACTATCTACAAAGTAACACAGAGTGAGAAACATGATGACACAACTAGTAAACACTTTGACACAGAGCTATATTTTCGTTTAGCTTCATCTAGTGTGTAAAACAAAGTTAGCATTAGCGGCTAACTCTGACAGACTGTTAGCTACCTGCGCGGTGAGACCCAACTCTTCGTTTTCCTCTTGGCCGCTGAGCACACGACGAAGCTTATCCATCGCTGGAAGCTTTATAGAAAAGCTGAACTGTGAATTTCTATCTTTTTTTCCACCTGTATATCCGCTGTTTGTGTCTGTGTAAGTTTTGGCTCACAGCAGTTTTCAGTTTGACTTCCGGGCTCGCTGGACGATGCTGTCTGTGATGATGCGTTCACGTGATGTCGGAATAATTGGAAGAATGATATTTCTTCTTCTTCTTTAAGGCTTCATGGCGGTTGGCAAACAACGAATTGGTGCATTTCCACTACCTACTGGCAAGGAGTGTGGATCAAACTATCTAATACGGCCGGACAGCAGGTTTCATCTGGCCCGCGAGACGTTTTGGGAAGAAGGAAATGTATAGAAAAATATTTTGAGATTTTTTTATAAATTAAATATTTGTAATACGTATTTTCCCCGAATTGTATTAAAACATTATGTAAAATGAGCAACGTAAAGGTTGATATCATGATACAAATATTAATTAAACAGGGCACTTTGAACTATCTTGTCAGCAGGGAGCATCACCAGGGCCCGTGGCATAGGCAGTATAGGCAAATGCTAGGGGCCGCCCAGCCTCCACAGGGGCCGCCCAGCCTCCATAGGGGCCGCCTCCATAGGGGCCGCCCAGCCTCCATAGGGGGCGCCAAGCCTCCATAGGGGCCGCCCAGCCTCCATAGGGGGCGCCAAGCCTCCATATGGGCCGCCCAGCCTCCATAGGGGGCGCCCAGCGTCCATAGGGGGCGCCAAGCCTCCATAGGGGCCGCCCAGCCTCCATAGGGGGCGCCAAGCCTCCATATGGGCCGCCCAGCCTCCATAGGGGCCGCCCAGCCTCCATAGGGGCCGCCCAGCCTCCATAGGGGGCGTCGCGGCAGAAAAGTTGAAGATAAGAAGAAATAGAAGGAAAAATGCGGTTAAATATCATTCAATATTATTTACCTAATATAATTTTCATGCTTTCATTTAGTCATGATACAAAAGAAGCCATGGAAACCCATCTATCATATTTAAAGAGGCTCTATTTTCTTGCCTCCTGCATGAGGTGGCTCATCACAACACAGCTGCTCGTTACCTGCTCGTTGGAGGAGGGCAGGTCACTTATTAGAAGTGAGAGACACTGTACGGATTAATATCTCGTTTATAAATGACCGTAATGTAAACAACAACAAAGCCCTCGGGAGCCCAGGGAGGAAAAAGAAGAAGAGGAGAAAAAATGTGAAAAAGACTCAGAGGTCACGTGCTGCACGGATCAATTATCTGTTGTATTTAAGATAGCTTCTGTGTTACCAAATCGAATTAACATCAGTTATTTCCACTGTACTTTAATTAGGTTAAGATTATTCATGTTAAGAAAAAAACCAGTGTAAGAAATACACTTCTTCTTCTGTTCTTATTTTGTTGGTTGACCCAAAACCTCTGAGCCTGAGAGCATTAATGCATTTTTTGCATGAAGTCTTCCCTGAATAGATCTGTGTGCATGCTGTAGGTCTGGTTGTTAGGAAAACGTTTGGGCTCACCTGAAAAACTATGCTTAGGTTTCTGTACTGCTCTGAAGAGAAAATGATATTTTGTGTTCACACTATATTCTAAAATGCCCATCGTTTAACAAATGCTCATCTTCTCTCTCCGGATGCAATTCTAAAACATTTAAATCCCTCCCCTGCCGTCCCTGTCCCGCCTGTGACCACTTCTGATCCCTGCACTGGTTGATATTGTTTGTTCTGTTACACTAGTTATTTTGTATTTATTTATAAGAAATATTAGAGTTATTAAAATGTTATTCATGTTTATTTATAAGTATTTTTTTAGTTTAAAATAAATAAATAATGTTAAATATAAAACTGTATGCCAGTTTTCTTTAAGTGGATGAATATAATATATTAGTGGTCAAACTTTCTGCAATTTAAGGGGCAAACGCTAAAATCTTGCCTAGGGCACCAAAATGGTTATAGGGCCTGCTTTAGTATCACGAGCTGCTCCTGCATTACGCTGGTAATACATCACATCAGAAAACAGGCTGAACACCTGAGACAGGTGACACAGAATGCAGGTTTTCAAGAGAGATCAAAGGAGCGATATTTCTTTAGTTTGATTTGCTCACAAGTTGCCAGAAGTTCATCAAAGCTACGAGACTTAACCGCTGCACTGCGCGCGCATCCTGACGGTCTTCAGTTCTTCACACTTCTTACCAGTTTCTTCTGTCTTGACTGATGTAAAACAAAAGTTTGGCTGGTAATAACAAAGCTTCCTATGGAGTGATCCACAAAGAGCAGCTCGTGCAAATAAAAAACAATCCTCTCTGTCCTGCGTAACGTAATATTAACTGATTTTATTTACAGATGGTTCATTTTTAGGTCACCCAGAGGTGAGCGTGTTGTGTTGATCACCTAAAAGTTTTCAGCGTGACCTCACTTCTAAATGCAGTAGCCTGTTGTTGCGTCTTTATCACCAGCTTTAATCAGACCGTAAAAATATAACTATTACTGAACATTTCATTCTTATCCAAAAACGATATCACGCTCAGGCTGTCCGATCATACAGAGGTCCGCTGGTTTCACCATGGAGCAGAGCTAAAATACTTCCTCGAATTGCGCACGGAGATGAAACAGATTCATGGCGCATAAAAAGTCAGTGACAGAGTTAGATCACGATAGTGCGGACACGGAGAAGAACAGACTGCCAGACTCATATCAAAACTCTTTTAACGAGTTTACTTAGTTAAAGAAGTTGAACTCCACACGGAGCTGATCAGACTGCAGTGATCAACTGAAGGAGAAATTCAAGTCTGTTGGTTTGGAAACATGTTTTCATTTTATAATGCCTAACACTAAAATACCTGAAGATGCATCTCTGTGTGTTTGTGACAACTTATTCATGTGAGCAGGTTTTATCTCTAATGAACCTTAACGAGTGCACACACACACACACACACACACACACACATCTAAAGTCTCTCTCTCTCTCTCTCTCTCTCTCTCTCTCTCTCTCTCTCTCTCTCTGATCACAGGGCAGGTAGAATAACCTGTCAAAGTTTCTACAACCTTGAACAGCAATATTTAAATATAATATAATAATCTCAAACAAAACATAATTCTTGATATTTTCTTCTGTAATGTGGTACATTTAAATATTTCCATGTGCCAACATGCAGTTTGCAGTGACAGTTAACCCCTCTGCTTAATGTTAATGTTCAACTTTTCTATACAATCATACATTAGCCTCTATATTCATGAGTTGAGTTATAGTGATGTTGGCAAAATTAGCCTATAGCCTTCATTTTCTGATTCCTATAAGGTATCTATTAAAAATCCAAATTTACTTTAATTTCTTTCAGGTTTTCCATCATCTGTCTTCTTTTTTTCATGTCTTCTTCCACCTTTCTTTTCTTGCCTGACATCCTCGTACATGTGTCGCACACCAACAGCATCGACCTCCCTCACGTCGACACCGACAAAGCCTGCAAGCGAAACAACTTGGACAGCCTACAGGAAGCTAAGCCAATCAAAAAACAGACCTGTCTCAAAGACGTATTTGAGAGGCGCCTTTTTTTCCCCTTCAACCATGCCTTCAAAACAGTGTTAAAAACATTTGCTCAACAAGCAAATTCACGTGAAAAACAACCACATCTGTAAAAAACACACTCAAGAACATCACACTCAAGAACATCACACTCAAGAACATCACACTCAAGAACATCACACTCAAGGCCCGGTTATACGAGGCTGCAAAAGGTTGCAATGCACCCTCAATTTACAATTCTGCACCCTCAATCGAATGCATGCCAAAAAATAGCAGTAGTTTTTTTGTTTTGTTTTTTACAATAATTAGCCTAATCAAGGCTTTCACAAGACAACATTGACTATACGATCTTGTTTACCACATTCATGATCTGATGGTCATGGCAGGTGCACACGACCTGTCTGTTCAACAAGGACCACATGACCCATACCACTACTTTATTACTCATTGATGTTGCTGGTCACTGTTCCCCTTTAATCTCAGATGCATCCTAAATCTGTCTGTCTGTCTGTCTGTCTGTCTATCTATAGAAAAAAGAGAAAAAAAGATGGATAAAAATAATTTAAAGGCAAAGCTGTTGACAAATCATCAATAAACCAAATAAAAACCTTGAAAGTGATTTAAAAAGCCGTCGTTTTTAATAAATCCTGAATCAGATTCACAGTATGTTCAGCTCTGTTGTCGTAAATAAGAATTAAACTCGTGATAAAATTGTTACACGTCATATATTACATGATCTGTTTTCAAATGCTTCATGCTCACTGCTGTTGCTTTTCTGCAGCTTTGTCACCCTCTAGTGGTTTTACCCCGGCACTGTTACTGAGAGTACCAGGGGCGTCATGCAACCCAAAATGATGGGGGTTGGGGGCTAAGTTAGAGTGGGGTCAAAGGTTACCTTCTAGGAGAATTAATGTAAAGAATGTGGCTATTTTCTACATTTTCAAACATTTACGTATAATCAAATGCATGAGGGATATTATGTCTCCATCGGTTTGAAACATCAGATTAATTATGCCAAATTTCTCAAATCCTAATTACTACAATTATTTTGTAGCTTTAAATGTACAATATGTAGAATTTTGTTACAATTTTTACATTAAAATATCTAATCTAATTTAAAAAAGGACAAAACCCATTTTATACTTTTTTTGTTGTTGAGTACTTTCATTCAGTTATCAAAGCCAGAGAAATATGATACTTGGCCAGAAGCACTGCCAGGTGCGTAGGACCCTATTGGAATGCTAATGATTATTAGGGCCCAAGCACGAACCATGCGAGGACTTCGACGCAAACTCAGTGTCAAGCCCGATTGGACCCACAGGTGCTGACAGGAAGTGACCAGAGGCAAAGCACAACATTGAGGGCAGTTCTTGAGAGCTCTAATCAGTATAGAAACCATCTTATAAGTCGTCGTTATCAAACAAAAACCATCGTCATTACCATCATCATCATCAATAATATGGAGACCTTCATCATTAAGTTAGTAGGTATTCATAAAGAGCTGAGTCTTTAGCTTTTTCTTAAAGGTGCAGAGGGACTCTGCAGATCACATGGAGTTTGGAAGTTCATTCAAATGATCAACAGCTTCTGGTTCAGACCCTGCCTATTCAGATCAATCAACCCCAGGCTTATTATGAAAGTGTTTTGTGCAAGATGTCTAAACACATATGTTAATTGTGAAAATTATTTTCATGAGGCGATAGAAATGGAATGGAAAACTATGTGCTTTGTCGGTCCGTCTTCTCCTCTCTTCTCTTTCAGTTGAAGCAGATGTCTAATCAGTATCATAGTGTTTTTGGATGTCAAGTAGACGGCATCGGTGAAAGACGAAAAGCCTAAACCATCAACATTAACACTGATCAGGTTTCTTGCAATCTGCTTGTTTATCCTCCTTCTTCCCCAGATCAGTACAAAACTACTTTACAGCCTCTTAAACCAAACATGTTTCTTCTAGACAATAGAGTGGAGCCGCAAAACAGTTCTCAATGACTCCAGTGGTTAAGCCAGAGCAGCAGTTTTGGATGAAATGAGACAAGAGAGAGAGAGCGAGAGAGAGAGAAATGTTCCTGTAGCTGCGTTTGGCATCGGCACACTGGCCTCCTTTGCAAGATGGAGAAGGAGAGGTATGGCAAGGCGTGGGGGAAGAGAGAGAGAGAGAGAGAGAGAGAGAGAGAGAGAGAGAGAGAGAGAGAGAGAATAAATACTGGCTGAGCGACCATGTATTGCTAGGTCTCTCTCTCTCTGGGAGTTTGTAGATTGGAGGAGGGCAGTAAAAAGGCTTTGAGGGGAGGCAGGTTAATTTTAAAAGTGAAAACACCAACAAAACAAGACCATTATCACAACTGTCAAAGCTCTTGTGTTTGAGTTTAAAAAAAAGCATTTGTTGCAATGATCCAGGTGTAATTGGCCTCCGAGTCAGTTGAACCCTATCCTCCCTGGAGGCTCTTCATTTTTAGGGTGGCCAACTGCTAGTGGAGGGGAAACACAGTGAAGAAGAAGATAGCTCACACGTGGCTTTCTAATAGCCATAAAAGCAGCAGAAGGTTTTAACAAGTCGTTAAAATCAGTGGCAGGAACAGGAGGATATTAATTAGATTAGTGCATTCATGGTCCTGTGCTCACCTCTTCTGCTTCTGTGATCATTTCTGAGGGATGGAAGTAAATCAGTTCATTGTGTGATGTGCTCTGTGTTGTGAATCACTTAGCTTTACACAGATACTGACAAAAGAATTATCAAACATGTATAAAAGGCAAGTTTGACTTTTGCTGTTCTCCACAGCGGAAACACTTCTAAACACAATCTGCAGTCCATCCTTAACAAAGGGCCATTCCAACGACCTGAAGCACAGTTAACAAATGCAGTGAGTAAAACACTCTCCTTTTCTTGAGCTGACACGAGGACACCAAAAATACAAAGGACAGATGTTGGAGTGCATCTATCAGTTGAAATGTAGAACACTTCATTTTCTGCAGCATGAGAAGTTCACAGCAGGATGAAGGTGATCTACAGATTTTGATCACAAGGACTGGGAAAGATAAAACAGCACTGTAAAAAAAACAAACAAAAAAAAAAACTAGTTATGACTTAAAAAAAAAGTTAGTGTCCAGGTTGCCTTAAAATGTTAAGTTACCTGAACTTAAAAAAGATAAGTAGAGATAAATTTGTGTTTATTCCAAAGAAATAAAATGTTCTATAGTCAAATAAATTTGACATCAAGTCAGTTGTACTTAAATCTTTAAGTTCACAAAACTTTTGATCACAACTCAGTTCCTGTGAGATTATCTCGTTATCTAGTTGAGGCAAAATGCTCTTTCAATTTCTTTTGACTTCAAATCCAAAGTTAAAATACTTTATCAAAAGTTGAATCCATCTAAAATATTGAGTTAAATGAATTTATCAATTTAATTATAATTTAAATTTAATATATATATATTTTAGTCAACTTAAATCAGTTCAGCGTATACATTTTTTAGTGATTCGCTTTTGTGGAAACTTTCAACTTCCTTTCAAATACAAAAAAAAAAAATCTCTCTCCTGTACTCTCTACAGGTTTATCATAGAAACCAACCAACTTTAGTTCTTCAACCTTTGACAGCAGATCAGATCAAATAGCTCACCTAAACATTTCAGAAAAGATCTGTGAGACAATTTCCAAATATTTCTTGGAAGCTTTCAGAAAACTCCCAACCTCACAGCTTTACAAAGAAGTCTTTTTCTCAGTCCATGGACCCTTGAAGGGGGCAGTGGTCACCACCGATATTCAATAGGTTCTTCTGTATGACTTTAAATGTATACTGCACTTTCTTTTGGTAGGCAATGTTAATTGCATACAGCAGACCCATGAGCATAGCTACCATATGCTACCAATAGTCCTTCATGCCATGCTGCTTGATCTGATGCTCCAGGACGACCTCATCTTCTATCACCAGGAGGATGCTGACGTTCCTTTGTTATGCCGTCCTCAGTGTCTGTAGATTTACAAAAGACAGAAAACATAGATATAGATGTAAATTGTTTGTAATACTCTGAGAAACAACATTTTTAGCTGGCAGATCCCCCATAATCCTTCACTCTGTGAGTGAACTGAGCACAGACACAAAATATGGCAGCGCCCAGTAAGACCTCAGGGCTTCTCTCTTCCTGCAACCCTAGCCCTGTGGTAACACTTAGGGGAGTTTACAGTCAGCTGAATCAGCGCATCGAAAACTTGACATAACATTGTGACAAAGTGGGTGAGAAGCTCTTCTCTTAATCACCACTTGTCACTTAAGTCTTTATTTAATATCAAATCACATCATTGATTACAGTTGTGTATTTAGCTTTAATTTAATTTTGCTTGTGTAACATTACAGCACTTACTACTATCCCGGGTTTGTTTGTGTTAGCAATAAGTTACAGTGCACATCAAAGCATAAATCAACTTAAAGCAAACACACAGTCTCGACTTAGTTCAGTCATTTTTATTTAGTTTCTGGAACTGCAAAATATCTTTGATTGTCTTATCCATACTTACCTCTGTTTGTTCTTTAGTTCAGTTTCCCATGTGGTTCCATGCAGTTAAAAGAGGATAGCCCAGCACTGTCTGGGTATTTATCAGATTGATGATGTCATTGCTGACATCACTGAGGCAGACCATTTTGAAGGGGTTTTATTTCTGAGAAATGTTTTCTTTCTAATAATTTCTTTCATGTTTGAGTTACTGGTAGAATGTAATTTAATTATTTAAAGTTAATTGAGTTGAGTAAATGATCTGAGGTTAATTTAAGGGTTTATGTAGATTTATTTGCTTTAAGAGAAAAGTGTAAACCCACTACTTGAGTTGTGCTGCACCCAGCTGCAGCCATTTGGTTAATGGGGCCATCTATAAAGCCAGGAGACGTGTTCTCTTGCATGAGGAGAGGTGAGGACGTGCTGCCTTTAACATGGTTTGTAGTCTGATTTAATCATGAAGTAAGTTGCCTTATTTACATTAAACTTTTGTTGTTGTTAACACGTGTTGGTTTAATCACTGTAAGTAAATACTCACCTCTTGGAAAATCTTCATCTGCTGAGTTGCCTTTCTACAACCTTCCTAGACAGTTGTGCTAACTACTTTACAAACATTGAGATTGACATTTCTTTCCATCTAGCGACGTGGAAAATTCAAAGCTTTGTTCTGCAGGGACTCAGACTTTATCTGACAAAGTCCAACCAATTAATGTGAACACTACTGTGCCAATTTGTAAGTGTGGAACTACTGTTTTTATTGTTATTTTTTTCAGATACAGGCAGATCCCAGTCTCTCCTCCTCCTGTGGTTCAAACTGGAGTATTGTTGTTGCTGATAAAATGGTTATCCTGTTTTCATCAGAGTTCTCAAACCATCCTGCTGCTTCTGGTCATCTCAGTAAGTTCCTCTCGTCTCTGACTCACTGTTTGCTATCTGTCAGGGTCCTGTATCAGGGAAGGCTCAACAAATTCTCAGACTGTTTTTGAAACATCTACTATACTTGAGTATGCACTGATTTCTCTGGCCAAAAAATCAGACGTATCAGACCAGACTTTTCACTGACTGTTTCCCACAATGCAAAGCGCCAGGTCAAAGATTGAAAAGACGGACAGCAACGGCTATCTTCCAGAGAAAATAAATACACAAAGCGGACAATTTAACCAGGTATCACAATCTCTCATCCTCTGTATACCTATAGAAAATAATTAATTTAACTGATTGTGTTAACAATGGCTGAGGTGTCACATAATTTGCATTTCAGAAACTGATGTGGACACCATTGATGTTTGCCTGGACGGACAGTTTCTGCTGGTCTGAGAAAGAAATGGAAACCTTCAAAGTCCCTGTGATAGCCAGAGTCACAGGACCAAAGGATTCAGGTGAGATCGATCTGTAATTCAGATGTTTTCCAGGAGAATCCTGGGAAAACAAATATTGTTGAACATGACATTGTTGTTAGAGAAGATGCTTCTGTGAGAAGATTAAGTTATAGGATCCATGAGTGCCTGTTGGCCTCACTGAGGATGGAGGTTGACCTGATGCTGTCCCTGGGGATCATCCAATAGTGTAACCCAATGATGCTCGTACCAAAGGATGGAAGCATAAGGTTCTGCATTGATTTCAGGTACTTGAATTAAAAATGTCTTTATTTGAGTCCTATCCAACACCAAGAATTGATGAACTTCTTCAAAGCATTTGGGACACCTTGGGGGGGGCCCTTTCCAGTTCACAGTAATGCCATTTGGGTTGAACGGTGCCCCAGCAACTTTCTGGAGACTCATGGACCAGGTACTTCATGATTTATCTGGTTTTGCTGAAGCATATCTGGATGACATCATCATTTACAGGAACACCTGTGTTGGATCGCCTTCATTCTGCCGGGCTGACAGTCAACCCATTGAAGTGCATCGTTGCTGCTGCAGAGACTGAGTACCTGGGCCATCATTACATCATCAGCAATGGGGTTGTACACCCTCAGGTCAACAAAACCCAGGCCATAGAGTCCTGTGCCCTGCCACAAACAAGGAAGCAGCTCCGATCCTTTTTGTGCTATCCGGCTTCTATCACTGCTTCATAACAACAGTGCAGCTCTACACAAAGACTTGACTAGATCCCAGAGTCCCAATCAGATCCACTGGACAGAGGAGGCAGTGACAGCTTTCAGTGATATCCAACAATCACTAGGTAAGCAACCTGTTCTGTACAGCCCAGACTTAGACAAACATTTTCTTCTCCTCCAGGATGATCGGCATCCAGTCGCCTACATCAGATGGAAACTGTTCCCCAGAGAGGTTCGGTATTTGACTGAGGAGAAGGAGGCACTAGCTATCAAGTGGGCCCTTGATTCCTTCCCATACTACCTTCTTGGTCCAGAGTTCACCTTGGCGACGGATCACAAGGCACGTTTGGTTTGTAGACTTGGTTTTCTATTTATGGGTGAAATAAAAACCTACCTTTTCTTAAAACTTATTCCTGTGTCTCATGCGTTACTGCTCGGTCCCTAACAGTCCCCCCACAAGAGAATCCTTCTCACCAGGGTAAGAGTGTTTATAAGGCACACTACAAGTGAAGGCCTGTGTGCCCCAGCATTACCTACATTCAGATGTGGGTTCTTTTTAGGTTTTGGTAGAGAAGCCATCCAGTGGTGCCGCGGAAACGTATCACTATCTTCTCTCTCAGAAATACGAGGGTTGTGAAGGTGAATTTTTTTTTTCATTCTGAGAACTCTATACCAAAAAAAGGAGCTATGCAATGTAACACGGGGGAATTAAAAATCTCATCTGTCTGTGTTTCAGGATTATTCTCTAAATCGTTAAGCTACATGGTTTTGACATAATGTGTCGTATTTTTGGTCAACAGAAATACACAATGTGTTTCGACTCATAAGACAGGCTTTTCCACATTTTAATCCTTGCATTTGCCAAGGTCAACACAGGTCTCAAAGAGACGTTTGATTTTTGTCGCAACCTCACTGTTGACAAGATTAATTCCTCATAGGAAAAAAAAATTTATATAGGCGCTTTGAAAGAGGTTAGCTGAGAACCTCTTCTGTAATTGCTAACCAGAATTTTAATCCAACCTCTCCACACACTCAGCTCCAGTTTCAAATAAAGTTATACTTCTGCTCGTCCAAGGATACCACGAGGGCTGCAGTACAGCATTGTTGTTCGGTCTGGGCCATGACATCCACTTGGTGATCGGCGTCAGTGTCTTTAACCGCATGTAATTATGATACATTGGGTAAAAGTGAGTTACGGTGCTTGTAAAATAAAAATCAAACATTTTCTGTATTGCTTCTTCATTAACTAATGTTTGGGTGAGAGTAGCTCAGACTATAGGGTCGCTGGTTCCAAAAGCAGTGTGGATCTAGTAAGGAAGTTTGTTTGGTAGCTGGAGAGGTGCCGACACCCCAGCTGCTCAGCCACTCTTCCATGTACAGGCCCATCTCTTCATTAATTCATGTAGTGTGTCTTTCAGCCTGTGGGTGTAGCATGTCTCAATGGCGTGAAAAAGCAATTTCTCCTTGTATTAATAAAGGATATCTTCTTACAATGTTTGTCTCTGATAAACATATTATACCCTGTATACATACTCCTCAAATCAACACATTAATGTTTCCTGGTATGCCAACTGAAAGTTTATAAACAAGTTTTAGATGAAGGAAGACTGTCCAACATTTTACACAAAAATACAGCAGAAATCAAGTCTATCCTCTGAGTCATGACTGTCTACAATGAGTGAGAAGCCCCAGCTGTACTGTTGTCTGAGCAGTGTTTAAGAGGACCTTGTGTATAAAAGCTGTTTTAGTCGAGGACTAGAGAAAAGAAGAATAACATACTCACTGATTATTTAGATGTCACGTAAGTGTGTTTAGTTTAAGGTAATTCTGTGTCAATTTATGTTAAATATGAAGCGACGAGCTAACAGAGTGTGCTAACATTAGCCTGCTAACAAAAATGCAGGCCACAGGTTATTGCAGCTCCAGCAAAGGAACATTTTGTCTGCCACTTGCTTTAAATGGTGCTTAGTTATGGTGCGTTCTAATTGATAAGTCCTTCGTGTGAACGAAAGAGGAGAGCGGAGGCTTCAGAATAGTGGAGGTGTGGCTAAACAGCAGTTTGTTTTGGTTTAAAGCTGGTGCTCAAAGGGGCGACATCTACTGGATCAAAAAGTCCCACGTTCTTCCTTAAAAGCTTACATTTAAATTAATTCATCATAATTTAAGTAAAATCTTTCTTGGAAATGTTGGAGAGATGAGAAAAACCATGCTGTATGTCTTGGTGTAGATTTTTATAACACTATTCTCTTCACAGGGTGATAAAGAAGATGTTGTGAGTCAATGGATGATGGACCCTCCTCAGGTCTGCCCACTCACTGTCAGCGATGACTTAATTCCAGGTACGCTGTTGTTTACGAGAACAGTATATACATAGCTAAACACTTTAAATGCCCTTTCAACTCCTGAACATTTATTATCATCTTTTTAACATTTAGAAACAAAAAGTGACACATTAATGGGCTCACGTTTTTGGACAGTAACTCACAGTATTGTGTTATCAAACAACAAACTTGGCTCTTCGTTCACACATTCAGCTCCTCCTGGAAATATCCTGAGATTTTTTTGTTTTCTTTTAGTTTCTCAACAATATTGAAGAGAGCCTGTTTCTTCTGTTGTCGTCTGATGCTTCACAGAGGCTTTGTCCGAGAACAGGTACTTAACTTTATTTGGATGCATTTCTATGTTTCTTCGATTTTGCTAAATATTTGTATTATTATTTTGACTTAGTTGACTTCTCTTTGATTCCCAGACTTAGCAGACTTGTTCAGAAACACATGTTTGAAGAGGCTGAAAAGTTTGTCATCACATTTGAGCTGGATTTAGAGGCAAGTGTCTGACTGTCCGCCTGTATATCTGTCTGTCTTGGCCTTATTGTACACTGTAATCAAATTTTTATTGATGTGTTATTCTGGAAAGAAAGATATTTTCTGATTCACATTTATTTCGAATCGCACTGTATTAAAAAAATGGTTTTACAATCATCATTAGTGAGACAGCTTCCAGAGTGATCTTTTTACTTTTCTGTAGGGTTACATTGAACAATGCTTTTGGATTCAAAAAGAACACAAAATGGGATACACATGTAGGCTATGTAAATACATAAGCTAATGTCATAAGCACCACTGTGGGGATGCGATAAGTCATATTGGCATGAATTAGGACGTTGATATATTCTCCATCCATACTAGTACCACTTTTAGTTCACAAGTTTTATTTTAAGACAGAGATAATGCTTTGTGGAGGTATATCAGGAATTAAACTGTATTGGAATATATCTGCCTCTTCCGTCTTGTATGTTTATCACTGATGTTTTACACACTGCATTTTAAGGTGGTTTTGTCTAATCATTCTAATTGAACTTACTTTGACAGGGAAGTGTACAGAGTGTGGCGTTCTTCATGCTGGACAAAGAGCCGCTCGCTGTCACAGTGGAGAGCAGTATCCTGCATCACTTCTACAGTATGTCAAGGTAAGACAACACCACTGCTGGAACATTAACCCTTGTGCCCTCCTCAAACTACCAAATTTTCAGGATTGTAACCCTTTAAATGCTAGGTTATTAGTTGAATAGTGATTAGAGGATATGTGAAAGACTAGCAAAGTTGATTTGATTGCATTAGTGTTTTTTATGTATGTAGAAAATATGCAATAAAATCATAAATATTTGCTTTTGTATTTTGCTCTGTTTCTGCTCTTGAAAGAGGGAAAGAGGGAAAGAGGGAGGCCCCCGGTCTCAGGGGTGTGAGAGACAGAAATCTCGCCTCAAATTACACAGGTATGATCAGGGTTGGCCTCTGAACACACTGGCCATCGCGGGAGACCTGACCGTGCTGCTGGTCTCCCTCTGCGGCCGTGCCCCGCTTCCTCATGTGCCACCTGGCCTTTACCGACCTCTGCACCGGGATCTACCTGCTGATGATAGCCAGCACGCCATCGATTGGCAGACTGAGCCCAGGTGCGGCACCGGGGGCTTCCTGTCGGTGTTCGGAGGGGAGCTGTCGGTCTACACGCTCTCCACCATCACCAACGCTCTGCAAGTGGAGCGCCATCTTGTGCTCGCGCAGGCGGCGAGCATCATGGCGGTCGGCTGGCTGGTTTGCCTTAGGATGGGCGTCCTCCCTCTGATCGGCGTAAGCAGCTACTCCAAAGTTACCCATGGAGACTCCTCCGGCTCAGGCCTTCATCATCCTCGTCCTGCTCTTCAATGTGGGCGCCGCCGTCGTCGTGTGTGCGTGTTACGTGCTCATCTATCTGGCGGTGAAGAACCCGGAGTTCCCCAGAAGAAGAAGCGCTGACACCAAGATGGCAAAGCGCATGGCCGTGCTCATCTTCACCCATTTCCTCTACATGGCGCCCATCTCCTTCTTCGCCATCTCCGCCGCGTTCAAGGTCCCCCTCATCACGGTCACAAACTCAAAGATCCTGCTCGTCCTCTTCTTTCCCATCAATTCCTGCACCAACCCCTTCCTGTACGCAATCTTCACCAAGGCTTTCAGGAAAGACGCGTACCGGCTCATGGGCGCCGTGGGCTGCTGTAAAAACAAGGCCAACAACAACGACTCGGGAGCTAATCGGAAAAGCTCAAGGTCGCAGCAGAGTCAACACATACAGGAGGAGGGAGAAATCACCTGAGAACAAAACAACATGCAGAACTTTTTTAAACTGGAAAATCTGACAAGAGAACATCAGGAAAAACAACTCATGAGGGATTTAAAGGAAATTATTCAATTGTATCAGGACTTTGTTATGACAATTTACTTCACTTTAAGAGATTCTCATATTCTTTTATTGTAAAGTTTTATAATATAGTGAAGTCATTTAAGTTAAATGAGATCTGTTGACTGTACTTTTACATTGTGGGACCTTTCCAAATCAAGCCTGACAGAATTTCAAAGCACTGAATAATCCTTTTTCACAGGAGACACACTGACTGGAAATGGGAAAGAATTGTTTTTTCTGCAAAGAAAGATACACTAAGAAATGTTTTGCCACAGTACAGAGCAAGTTCTTTCAAATAAGGACCGTGGAGATCGCTAAAAAATGAAAATCTACTAAAAATGGCGGACTTCCTGTTGAGTTTTCAATTTGATCATTAGAGACTTTTCTGTAGGTTTTGGCATGATACTCAATGCCTACTGACTTCTTGAATTTTTGAAAAGTTCAAGGGGGCGCTATGGAGCCATTTTGCAAATCTCCTTTTCAAGACCCCAAAAAGTTCAAGAAAAAATCCAGTACATCATCTAACTCGTAAGCAAACATATACTGTATGTGTCATATTTTGGTACTAGGCCTTCATCAGGCAAACAGTCAAGACCCCCCCCCCCCCCAAAAAAAAACAACATTTTCACTAGGCCTGATGATGCAAAAATGTGTGATTTGGGGCATGTTAAAGCCCCCAAATAAGCACTTCCTTCCAGATATATATATATATATATATATATATATATTTTTTTTTTTTTTTTACTAATTTCCAATAGGC